TTGTCCCCACAAATGGACAAAACAAGTCAGTTAATGCAACATTCATAATTAATATGCTTAATGTTCAATTTAATGTTTATGCGGGTAATAAAGAGAACTACTTGGGGCACATTTTTGAGCATTTTTCCTGAAAACAAAATAAGTACATTGTGGTGTAATTCCACACTTGAGGACAACAAAACCGCATTTACATAAGTCTCATAACCTCTTTTACAAAACATAAAAGTAAAATTAATATACTCTCTCTTTGTACGACCAGATAGAATAATTAACATTTGACAGTGTCTAAATTAATAATACTAGTTGTTGAATGACATTTAAGGTATTTTTCATGATTTATTATTTATGTATTCATTCATTTATTTATTCGTTCAGTCATATTTTTGTGCTTTAAAGTAACGTTGTTGGTTTTTAACCCTCTGCATGCTGCATTTTTATAACTTTTAACTTCTTATATTGTTGATTGTGTCTATGAGTTTACATGCTAATAGAGAGTGTGTGCTATTCCACTTTGGGATTCATAAAATGAAGTGTCCTCTCTCGAAACATAAAACAAATGGGTACTGTTACAGTATCGGAGACTATACCTTCAAGCCTATCCGAACAGTCGAGCTTAAATATTTGTAAATGCATGAAAATCAATTTTCAATTTCAAGCATCATTTAAACAGCATCAACAAATCAGATATCTTATAGACGTACCTCAAGTTGTTATCTGTTAAGTTAATTTGTACCATTTTGTGATTGTATTTAGAATATTACAATAATCTATTATAATAACCCGGTTTTATTAAAATGTCATGTATCTAAATATAATTGTGTAAAACCTGGGTAACATGTTGTCAATATGTTTGCTACCGTGCTCATCTTAAAGAAGGTGAAACAAAAACAGATTTTAGATTGAAGCCTACACTACTTTTCCTCTTTCCCAAGAGTCTCGTCTCTTTCAGCTTTGTGTCTCAAATGCTTTTTTATCAAGTGAAAAAAAAAAAAACATAGATTTCTTTGGCAGCCAGAGCGCTGTTCCACTGTCTGGGTGTAATGAGCTGAGCCTGCATCGCTAACCAAATATCCTCCATTGATTGTGGTTAGGCGGCTGAATTTGCTTGTCAATGGATGCAACTTCTAATTAACGAGCCTGGAAAGTGAGCGGGGGAAGTGGACACAGGAACACATTTGATGCTTCTGCTGTGAATTTCTGGTTTTGAAATAATATCATCAGATCAGATTTCAAAAAGTCCCAAACACTGTGTGTGTGTGTGTGTGTGTGTGTGTGTGTGTGTGTGTGTGTGTGTGTGTGTGTGTGTGTGTGTGTGTGTGTGTGTGTGTGTGTGTGTGTGTGTGTGTGTGTGTGTGTGTGTGTGTGTGTGTGTGTGTGTGTGTGTGTGTGTGTGTGTGTGTGTGTGTGTGTGTGTGTGTGTGTGTGTGTTGTGTGTGTGTGTGTGTGTGTGTGTGTGTGTGTGTGTGTGTGTGTGTGTGTGTGTGTGTGTGTGTGTGTGTGTGTGTGTGTGTGTGTGTGTGTGTGTGTGTGTGTGTGTGTGTGTGTGTGTGTGCGACTGCCTGATTGTCTGCTGTATGGATGTTATCATCAATATTCTTTTGTTTTGAAAAGCTGATAAATCCTTGAAAGACTGAGGCAACAATATTGTTTGAGTGTTCATGGCAGCATCTAAAAACAAGGGACAGTTAGTTATTTTAGTTTAGAGGCAATAACATGACCGACTGCTGCATTTCCTCCTGAGGTCATTTCCACAATCAATTCTGAACAGACAGAAAAGATAATAATCTCTTTAGATTAACTGTGATTTAATTTCACCATTGTAAAATAATCAACCATAATTCCAGATAGAAATCATAGGAAAATATACTGTAACTCCAGAACTTATCTTATCACATATCGTTTTCTTTTGTATGAAGGTAATCCAGTGTTATCCATGAGTACACTGCAAACAGGAAGAGCTGTAAACATATTCAGAATTATTTTAATTAAAGCCATTGGCAACAAGTATAGGCTAACGAAACAATGGTTTACTTGCTTTTAACAGCCCTGAAGCATTATGTGAACGATATATCTTTCTATATGGACTTGTTCCATATGCCAAATATTATTGGATCAAATGTGAGACTGTGTAAAACTGAAGTTTCAAGAGTGGTTAGTTAACAAACACTCACCACATAATATAACATGTGTCTTAGGGTTTTCTGCCAGGTGTTTATTTAAAAATGACTCAATCACTAAATCAGTGAAAGCTGTTTTTAAAAGCCAGGTCTGTTAATACATAAATATTAACAAACATGAGTTGCTTTAAATGGGACCTATCATGCAAAATGCACTTTTGTACGTCTTTTATACATGAATATGTGTCCCCGGTGTTCCAGGGAACTCACCAAGTGTCAGAAAACACAACCCTCTCTATTTTCCTCCATACCCAAATCTCTAAAAAAGGGGCTGCAACGGATCTGATAAAAACTGATCCAGATTTGAACACTGTCCTGACGTCAGGACAGCGGCGCTACGGCTATTGGGCCAACTCCACCAATCAGGAGGAGACAGCCACGGCCATTGCCGTTCGAAAGCGCTGGAGACGCTGTAGTACATATGCCAGGCCAGTAGATGGTGCTGTTCTCACTGAATCTGCCCAGAGCTAGAAATTGTCAAATTGAGCAAAATGAGGCATGGCTAAAATGCATGATCTGTTTGGTATTTTGAAAAAAAAAAAGTATAAATATGCCTTATATAGGTATGGTCCTACACTATATTATTCAAATATAGCATGATAGGTCCACTTTAATGTGAGTGATGAATATTTGATATTGTTCCAGAATTTGGACTTGTTTTAAAGTGGACCTATCATGCTATATTTGAATAATATATTGTAGGGCCATACCTATATAAGGTATATTTATACGTTTTCTTTTTCAAAATACCAAACAGATCATGCATTTTAGCCATGTCTCATTTCGCTCTATTTTGCTCTCCTCCACCCTGTCTTTGCATGCGCTGCAGCTGACCACGCCCCCCTGCAAAGGAGGGGGCCGAGTTACGAGCGTCATGTTACCATGCTGTTACCATGCCACGGCAACCTCTCATTCCCCTGATAGGTGGAGAGTTGGCTATATAGGCGGAGCTCCTCCGTCCTGACGTCAGAGAAATGTTCAAATCTGAATCAATCTGTATCAGATCAGTTGCAGCCCCGTTTTTAGAGATTTGGGTATGGAGGAAAAGAGAGAGGGTTGTGTTTTCTGACACTTGGTGAGTTCCCTGGAACACCGGGGACACATATTCATGTATAAAAGACGTACAAAAGTGCATTTTGCATGATAGGTCCCCTTTAACTATATTTTGCTGTAAGTATATGAGATAAGTCATGTTGCAGTTTTCTGAAAGCTGAGAGACATTCACAATCTAGTTACAGACCTACTGTAAATAGATTCAAACTAAATATGAATTCAGTCTGTTCCTGGGGAAACATTCCTGAGCAAAATGTAAAAAATAAGGCCCTACCTTTCAGCTTACATGCTCACCATAACAGCCTGGCCTGCAGTTTTGATGTGAGGCACGGCGAGTTTATTTATACAGCACATTTCAGCACCAAGGCAATTTAAAGTGCTTTGCATAAAACATCAAAAGCATCGAGACAAGTGCAAAAGAAACGCACCACTTAAAGACATTTGAATACAAATAAAAACAGTCAGTGCCAAGAGAATAGAAAATTAAAGCATAACTGCAAGCTAAAACAGGAGGTTAGAAATAGTTCCTGTTAAATTTGATGTCTGCTTTTTTGTTTTCCCGGACCTGGGAGATCCCCTGATATTTAACACAAATATAAATAAGGTTACATCACTTAGACTGACTGTGCCACAGGCCTCAACAGAGGTCAAATAGAACAACACTACATATACAAAACAGGAAGATGTAGGATTATTATTATAATTACTGATATGACAAGTAGTGTGCATTGGAAATATAACACCATATCCTCTTAATATCTTAACTAAAATAAATGCTGCTCTTTGGATGATGTTTTTGTTTGATTTGTACGACCATTCATAATTACAGCATTGACATTAACATGTACACTATTTAAAAGTAGTAAACTCCAAATGATAATAACTCTGACATTAATCTACCAAAGCAAAGGTCATCTATTCCTGCTACCACTTATAATACATTACATTAACGGATGCTATGTTTGTGTAGCATGAATGAAGTCAAACATTTTAGTTTTATTGAGACGCTTTGGAAAATAGTTTTAGGTATATTTTTCATATTAGCAGTAAGACTGTATTTATCAGATTGTTATGTTTTATTAATTCTGTTAAATTGGAACTATATTAAACATGGCTGCCACAATAAAAACTTAACAAATGGGAAATATGACTGGGGAGTAGGGATGGGACCTCAAGTATTTAATCACAGATGGCAATCAAAACACAAAACAAAAGCAATAAGTCGATTGAGTTGGTTTCTATAATCAGAACAAATTGGAATATCCTCTCATCAGTGACTATTAAGAAATGTGTCTAGCGTGCTATAACGGAGCAATGAAACACAGAGACTCATTTGAACAAACAATAATTATCATGTAAGAAAGAATAAAATCACACAATAGCCGCCAATTTATTTAATATATTTATTTATCCATCATTCATTCATACAAGATGGGCTTCTGATTTATGATTACCTTATTACCTCATTATTATTAAGATTTCTTGACTAGACAAATGTTCAGATACAAAATATGCCTTTCTATATGTCATTAAAAGCACTTGTTTCTTGACTCAGTGTGAGGTGAAGTAGATCCAGTTTGTTTGAGTGCCTTTTTAATCGAAATAATATCGTCAATAGAAATTATTTTCCCAGGATAACCACACATTTAATGTTAATATCATCCCCTGCCTACTGGGGAGATGAACTCAGGATGTATTTATTTGTATCATCATATCTGTCGCACACTGGTGAAAAGTGTTTCATCATCTCATCTCTCGCTGTCTCTGCAGATGTGATCCACACAGTGGGGCCGATCGCTCAGGGAGGAGTGGGAGACGAGGAGAAGAAAGCGTTGAGGTTGTGCTACAAGAACAGCATGAACGCAGCCGCCAAAAACAACGCACGCTCTGTGGTGAGGACGGGAGGGGGGGATGTTTGCTAGGAAGAAACAGGAAGTATGAGAGGAAAAATACAGAGATTCAAAGTTGTTTGTTGAGAAAAAGGTGTGAAGAAACCAGATTTAAACAAAGATAAAGGGAGAAAAGCACTTAGTATTGGAACCAAAAAAATATATGACGGATAAAAAGAAAGGACTCAGTCATGACTGTGTATAAAATATTTTACCTTAGCTGAAAACATAACAAGAATTAACACATTAAGAGATGTTTTCAAAGGAAACTACATTCCAAGCTGAGATATAAGTAGAGAGGGAAACAGGAGCTGCAGGTAGGTAGTGGAGTTGAAAGAAGATTTTATGAAACACTCCAGGCGGGAGATTTTCACTACAGAGCAAGGTGTTAAAGTCAAAGAAAAACACTAAAGCAACAGAAAAATAAAGTCAGAGGTACAGTAGAAGAAAGATAAATGCTGTGTATTTGTAGTTTATCCACTCAAGTGTAGAATTTAAAGCAATTGGACAGTCATTTTCATAAGCAAGTACAATTTATTGTATTTATTGTTTGGTATTAGATCAAATACCTGTCCTAAATGTTCATTTATATTACTGTGTTTATGTAGAGGGGCTATCATAATGTTTTGATCTGAAAAAAGATTATATAAAGTACGGTAAAAAAAAAATTGGTGAAGCCAAAGATCACAAATTTGCCACACAGGTTTTTATTGACGCTGATTAAATCTCCCCTTCCTCTTGAGTACAACCTTTCTTCGACTTTCTTGTTTTTTTACTTGAAACCCCTAAAGCTTTTCTTATAAGTTCACTTCCATTGACTTTTATATTTACCTCTCGCCTTGAGGACCCTGTGTGTCGTGTCTGATCTCTCCCCGAGTTGCCAACTCCACAATCTGGTCAATGAAGAGATCTGGAGACACCGAGAGCATCCAAGCATCTGCTCGTAGCGCCGCATTTGACAGCAGGTTGAGAATCTGCCAGATTTGATTTACTTTGAAGTTTACTGGCTGCTTTCCTCAGCTCAGAGACTCTGATGCCATGAACCTGCCTGACAATGGCCGAAAGTTAAAATGTCAAAGATTTTTATATAAAAAATCCTTGTTGAAACTTGACATTTTTCATCAATAGGGATTCAATGTATTTACATCCAGTAATTATCTCGTTACAGCGCTTTTCATTGTTATTAGCGTAGTTCTCCTTTCCTGAGCAGGTTTTAAATGGCCCACTGACTCACAAGGGATTCACTGGGAAGGATGCATGTACTTAAATGTTACGGTTTGTAATTTTATCTAATGGATAGAAGGCTCCTCGTTTACAGTTTGCCCTTCTGCTGCCTGTCTGAGTTAAATCACTGCCAATGTAAATACAACTTTTAGTGCCTCAGCTTTTATAATAAATCAATTCAATATAAGTGATGGGGGACAAAATCCACAGTCCGTTTTGTGTAAGCTGGTAGTCTATGCGAGGTGTGACCAAACTATGAATCAGTAAAAAAATTGCAGACAGATGGTACGGTCAGACAATAAGTAAACAGAGTCCTGTGATTGTAGTTACATGTTAGCCTATTAAAAACTGGCCACATAATAATGTATTTATTGTGTCAAGTTGCACTTCCCCCCTGCCTGGTGAGGCTTTATAAGATGGTTTGGATGAATCTAATATAAGATTTCATGAATTAAAACACATCTTATTGAAGTAAGTTGTAATTTATAGTCTTTCAGTACCGAATAAGCTTGTTGTATTAATTAACTATAAGATGTGTTTGATGGTTAGTAAAAAAAAAAAAGCCGACTAAACTGCACCTTAGGGGTTTGAAATAGCTTTAAGAATATTTTTATTATGGCCAGAAATGGCAATTAGCGTGAGCAACAGTGGTTTCAAAACACTTATTGACATTGGAGGATTATTTTCAACATTGTAATTTTGGGCACAATGTATCGTATGCCTTTATTTTACAGCGAGACAAAAGAAGCAGAGAAAGATGCAACAGAATAAACATCAACAAAAAGAAAAGATTCTTCTTTGTGGTTCAAGGTCGGAGTGTTAATGTACTTGAGAGGACAAAAGCTTTAAAAGCACAGCAACCGCCGAAACACAAGTAGCTTTTATAGTGGAATAGTCATTAAGTTGTTTGGTGAAGAGCTGCAGGTGAGATGCTCTGGCTCTGGCATTTTTAGGAACCAGCACCTCTCCAACACATTGTCAGTCAGATGCAACATCACATCAAATAAACACCTTTAGACTGTCCTGTTGTATGGTTCGATGAATGTTGCTCAGAAGGTGAGAAAAAAGTCAAATTATTTACTGTCTTTATGTGACACAGTTATTCTGTTCAGCCCATGGTTTGCTCTTTAAATGTTTCATTTTGAATGTAACTCTGTGGCCTGCACTGCTAAACCGCACCTTCGGTCACTAAAAGACACCAATGGTGATCCAAATCAGCCAGTACTGAACTGTTATAAGATCATTACTATAGTAATATAATAATGCCTGGTTGATTGCTGATGAAGAAAGTCCTTTAACATCAGGCCTCCATAACAAAAGGATGATAAGAAGAATGTTCTTAGAATAGAAATGAAAGACAGATAGAGAATAAGAGCTGCCTAAATATCAGGAGATATACTCCATCGAGATCGAGCAGAGAGAGTGTGTGAAAGAGAGTGATAATAAAGCTGGTTGTTATGTGATCAGCAACAGACTGTAACTACTTTGTTTCTCCTCTTCTCTCTGCAGGCGTTCCCCTGCATCTCCACAGGAGTCTATGGTCAGTGTCTGTGTTGATGTGTGTGTCTCCTCCTCATAGTTAATCAGAATATTTGCAACAGTTGTGCATGTTGCAATAAAAGCAAGACATTTGGCACATGTAGGTTTATAATTATATGTATACATATTGGGATGCTGCCGGTTTGGTGGCCATTTTGGAAATCAGCAACAGCCCCGAGCAAAATGCTGGTAATATCTGCTTCATCCACTGGCAGAACAAAACAGTAAGGTACTTGTGATGGAAACTTCTGAAGCAATGGAGAGAGGACTCAAAGAGACACGAGGAGAGCAGGAACTTTGATGGCAAACACTGATGGTTTATTTGGAGCTTCGGCCGGAGAATTCACAAGACATGTGCTGTGCCACGGCCACAGCGGTTGCCAAACCAATTCTGAAGATCTCTACCCCAGACCCATGCATTTAGCTAGTTCTGAGAGAATAATCAACATTGTGCATACCAAGATAAAACCATAACACCTCTATCAGCTGATGCCAACAGGCAGGAATAGGAAGACAAAACACTGAGAGGGTAGCTTTGCTCATAAGGGCAGTACGAACTGATAAACTGGCTCAAAGTTATGGGCCTAGGAAAATACTTCCCCAACAGTACTGAGTGGCTGGTGGAGGTTATAAAGAGTGGCATGTGGACAAGTTCATCTCTAACCGTGATCTGGATGAAGTCGGCTCCATAAAAAACTTCTCTGATGGCCACAGGAGACTCTGACTTGGCTGAAGTAAAATCTTCCAAGCAAGTCAGGAGGTCACAATTGATAACATATTTCTCTCTTTGGTTTGGCATATATCATTGCTTATTAGCAATACATTCCAAAGTTAGGTATCGCTTCAACTTTGGTTATCAGCAACCCTGAACTCGTTGCAGCAATATTTCTGTCAATTGTGCAATTAATATAAAGAGAAATGCATCACTGGATAGCTGAATATATTGCACTTCTATGGGTGTTATTCTGGGATGAAGGCATGGGGTTGAAGTTTGACCATGAACTGAACATTATCTTTCAGCTTGAACACACCTCGGCCATCATCCATACATCAGTTTTCATTCAGACATATTAAGCGACTGTTTGCCCTCAGGGACCAAATATCCAGCGCTCCAATATGTATACCTTTCTTTAGCAAAGACACCTACATTTGTGCCAATGTGTTGCTTTTACAGTACAGCAAAATGCACAATTGTTATGCGTAACTGTCCCAGGATCTAACCAGAACAAATGCATGACATTTTCTTCCCTTGTGTGTTTGTAAAATCATCATTTTCACATTTTCTCTTCAAATGTTTATGTGTTGCTCAGGGATTTACGCTCTTGGAGTCTGAGAGCAAAAAAGAAATCAATTTTCATTTTACAATAAATCTAATCCCGTGTTTGTATGCTGTGCACACCGGCTCTGCTTTCCATCACATGCTTGTTTCCAGTATCAAACCTTGTCTGTAACCAGAATGCTGAGCCACCCAGTGCCACTTGTCACATTATCTCCTGCAGGCCAGAGGTGGTTCCCAGATTAAGGCCCTGGATTAAGACCGGCAGATTAAAATGGATTAGGCCGGAGATTGTGTCAGATTGACTGTAATACCCCTCCACACTGGCAGGAGAGAGAGATAGGGACGGTGTTTAAACACTCCCAGGGGAGGGTCTGAGTGTGAGGGCTGTTTGTCGACACTCCTCCCATGTTGCTGGAGAGAGGAAGAGGCCAGAGTTGCGCCTGTTTCTCACAGTCTCTCTGTTCAGATCATCATCTTTCTAAGAGTATTCTCTAAGTTTTGTCTCTCACCTGGGCTCACCTTTTAAGAGGAAGGTGAGACAAAATTGTCTACACTTGAGATTGATGCTGCAACAAATGATTATTTTCATTATCTATTAATTTTCAGATTATTTTCTAAATTAAATATTAATTATTTGTCATTAGATATCAGCAAATATTGAGAAAACATCCATCCCAGTTTCTCAAAGTCCAAGGAGATGTCTTTGAATGTCTTGTTTTGTCAGTCCAAACCCCAAGGATATTTAAATGTTTTATGGTATAAGAAATGAAATACTATATCAAAATAATAGGCAAATTATTTTTGTCAATTGTTCCAGCTCCATTTAACAGCTTCTCGAATAACGTCACCAATGTAATCACAAGACATACAGTCAACCCTAGAAAATACTGTCTCTTGAGGACAGTAACACGTTTGATGGGACATATTACCATTTTTACAATTTTCTTAAGTACAGTGAGTGATATGTTCTTCTGCACCGGAGAAAGGTGTAATGGTAAACGTACAGGTTAGCACCCTGAGACACGTGCAAAAAGCTTTTTGTTGCCTAAACATAACCATAAAAACTTGAATAATTGTATTCATTATTTTCCAAGTGTGTATAATGTAGTAAACATCTTAGCAATATACATTTTTCATTATGTCAATTAAAATGAATTTAGATGGCATTACATGTATGTCGTACTCAAATACATTTGATATTTCAAACTAAAGTATAAATGTCGTTTTTCTTTTTATAAGGAATGTGAGGCAGGTGTCACAGTCTGCACACACGCACACAGTTCTATATTATCATTTAAAAGGCAAACTTTGCTATTTTTTACCTTCAGGTAGTTAAATAGTTTATATTGATCTCATTAGATCTCCTGCTGTTTGTGTTTCGATGGTTTAACAATGCATGTGTAATGCTAATGTGCGCCCTCATGTATTTCCCTCTTCACATATAGAACACTCTCTCCTCGTGTATAGAATAATTACTGTATAATCCCACAGTATGTGTTTGTTTCTGGCTGAGCAGTTTGGCCAGATGATGATTTTTTTAGTGCCTTTGTGTTGTGTTTCCAGCAGTGGGGATCACTTCCCAGCTCTGAAAGGTCTCGGTCGCTCAATGAATATTGAATAAGCACTGTAGTCTTTCTCCATCTGTCTCCTCCTAACCCACAAGTGTGTTATGATTCCATATCGCAGGAATAGGGGAATTTGGATGAGGGCAAGTGAGAAAATACCAAGCATAGAAGAACGGAAATCTGGAGAAAAAAAAACTGTGTAGACAACAACCTAACGCAAACACACAGATCTGCACCTGTTCTTGTAAATTGTTTGTATATTTGTGTTTTTTTTGTAGGATATCCACCTGAGCAGGCTGTGCACAAAGCGTTAGCAACTGTGAGGGAGTATCTGGATGAGCATCACGACAAGGTGTGTGTGTGTGTCTTTTTGTCTGCATGAGTGGCAATGTTTCCCTACCATTTCCTCAAGGTATTATTCCTTTCACAGCTGTTGTGTTTGTTTTCTGATGGGAGCCAAGAGAAGGGTGCTTTGAGAGAGCACTTGCACGCACGCACACAGTGACACACACGCACACACACACGCACACACATACATTTGAACACACACTCCCATGTTCTACCTCTCATGCTCATGGCCAAGTCTGCGTTTTAATTGGCTCCTTGAGGGACTACACCCTACACATATACACACACACACACACACACACACACACACACACACACACACACACACACACACACACACACACACACACAGCTTCTCTCAGGAGAAACGACGAGCAGAGAAAAGACAAAATGATGGAATAGCTGACTGGAGGCGAGGGGAAGAGGACGGGGTGATGGGAGATTGGAACAAAGAGGAAACTTTCCAATCAGTCGTTAACATGCTCTAAACTCTCCTCCCCTCTTCCTCCTTTACTCCACAGGTCTCCTCCCACTCCTCTTTTTAATCTTTCTCTCCGTCTCTATCACCTCCCAGAGAGCGTGTTGACGAGGTTATTGTTAGCGCTGCAGTCTCGAGAGTCTCTGTAGCAATACTAGTCGACTGATGCCATCAGCCGCACCGAGCTCAACCAACGAACATTAAACATTTCACATCCCACCACGGGGGACAACAGTTAACAACTTAAACAGCTTAATACGAGAGCAGAAAGCCAAATCAACAAGGCTTGTATTTCAGTTCTGCCCGGAAATAGTTCCACTGTGAGTTTTTTAAGAGGGATTTTTGTATTATTATGAACAAATGAGATGGTGAGACGGAGTTTGTTTGCATACATATAAAGTGAGTGTGTTCACCAGAGGAGGTTTATACTTTAATTCAACTGCACATTTTGGGCTTGGAGAGCTGTTTTGAAGAAAATGAAATTAAAATAGCAAACACTAAGGCAAACAAAATGGACTCAAGACATGTTGCAATGTGTAATACACAATCACATTAGCATTTATTTGCAAAACAACAACAAAACTGTTGCAAAAAAGAACAACCCAAGGCAACTCATAAGTTTTATAGTTGTTTTATTTGAAAATAAATAAGTCAGCTTGGATATTTCAACAAAGAGTTGGACAAAAAGTCGTACCCAACCAGATCCATTTCAAAGCTTTTCAGGGGCTTTTGATCACATCATATGATCTTCACAGCAGAGTTTTTCTCGTGTGGTTTGCTTCATCAGTTCTCATGAACTCTTCGTACTTGTATCTAAGAAAAGCAGTGCACTATAATTTGCATACACTCCACAAATCGTGTGCCAGGAGCACAGGTGACATAGTTTAAGAGCGACAAAGTAGAGTGGAGGTCGTGTCCCATGTGTAACCAGAAGTCAAACGTAACCAAAGAGTTGTTTTTGGTTCTTCAGTGCAATAACAAACATTAGATGAGGATAAACTGGTATTATATTGCTCTTTTAAGGTTTCAATTTGTTATAGTAAGTTGTGAATGCCAATATGTCGTAGAATAAAGCAAGTTAACCACAGGACCAAGCATCGTGTTTTTCAGAAAGTCAGGTAAAATAAATGCTGTATAAGAAATAGCATTGAGTTTCAGAAACCAGTGAAACAGAAGATGTGATGTCATCATTTATTTTGTATATACTGTATGCATTTACAATCATAACAATCAGATTAGTACAACATTTACCGTGGAAATGATTTTATATTGAGGAACCACAGAGGAACTTGTTTTTCAGATAGAGGAAGACAAAAGCAGCTTTCTATCTCTTTAATATTTTGCATAGTGAAAGGAACGTTGTTGTTTGCAGAATATATTAGCTGTAGCAAGCTAGCTACCACTAGCTTCCAGCTACGGTTTCATGCTGATTTATAGTTACAAAGCTTCAATGTAATACCACAAATTACATTCATAACTGGGAAGACTCCATCTGCTGTAGAGGATCCTGTTTTACGCATAACAACCCCAGAGCAGATACTAAATGGCCCTTGTGGGAAGCTTGTCAAAAATGAACTCATAACATTAACTGATGACAGCTTGAAAAACATTTTCTTTCACATGTATCCAGTGCAAACTTAAAGTTAGTAAATAACAGTATGAAAGGTGTGAGGCGTGATGAATAAACTCTGCTGCTGTCAGATTTTTCTGTTTCAGAATAACATATTCATCTGTGTTTACCTTGAAGACAGGTTGTTATAAAAGAGCCCATTACACTCACTTAGTGTTATTGTTAGCATCTCCAGGGTCCCTGTTGCAGTTGTATCAAATGAGCTGCTGCTGTATTCTGGAGGCCATTTTGCATTTCTCCTCACAAGCATTTGTTTTAATCAGGGAGGCTGAGAAATGGCACAAGTGGAGGTTAGAGATTTCTAACCTTAGCCCAGGGGATGTAGTTACTTACCGCACATTTTCATATCTTCCTTTTTAGCCACCATTCAAATCCTGGCAAGTGGTGGTAATTGTAGCATTTGGGCTGAAAGACACAGACTGCAGGCGGCTTAAATAAATCTTTGAAAGCTCCCGCAACAAGCTGAAAGTGATAGAAACAGCCGGGCTATAAATTGCACTGCCTTGCCCCAAAACGGAAAACTTTTGTAGAGACATTAGGGAGGTAATAATGTTTGTCAGATGCTGAGAAATAAGAGAGCACAGTCGAGATCATATCCCTGGAAGCATCTTTTAACTGTAGCTGCTGCAGCTTTAATCATCAGGCTACATATTGTGCTGTGTACTCTGTGTCCAGCTATACAGAATAAAACATTATAGACTGCAGAGCTCTAAAGAACAAGAGCACAGAGCATAAATATTGTTTATTGATGTAAAATAGCTGCACTCGCTCGGACAGTGTCTTAATAATATTTGAAAGCTATTATCTTTATGGCTGTGTGTGTATGTGTGTGTCTGGATTGAGTTGAATTGTGTTCCTGGATGTACACTGTAATGAGGGAAGCTGAGGGCTTAATGCCAAATACACACACACACACACACACACACACACACACACACACACACACACACACACACAGTGTAACACTCAGGGGCATTGACAAAAACACACAAAGTTACTTATCTTATACACACACATGTACAACATAAGATCTTCTAGACCTACACAGGAGGTTCTCCACACTTCTCTCCTGACCTCTTTCTTTCTCTTTCTCACACACATAAACACACACAAACTTAGCACATCTCAGCACTCTGTCCCCAGCACAGTGTATATTAAGTGCTATGTTGTGGCATTATCACAATAGGAAGCTAATAGGAGAGTAATGGACTGATGCAGTAGCTGCCTACTCCTGATATCGCCTCTGCACAATGTCACACACTGTTACATTGTTATGGGCTCAGAACAGTCTCATAATACACACATGCACACAGAAGGATTCACACTTGTATTTCATGATCCGCAAAAGGATCCACACTTGTGTTTTTCAATGCACACACAAATGTGTTCCGTTTCATATACATGTACATAAAATCCAAATACAGAAAAAAGTTTTACATATGTATTTTTGATCCTCACATATTTGTTTTCCGTTTAAAACCCCTGAACCTGCAAACACAAACCGCTTTCTGTGCATGGATCGCTGTGCATTCGTGTGTGGGTTTTTTGAGACTCCCCTGACGGTCACCCGATTCGTACTTGTAATTTTTTCTATCTATAGCCAATCAGATGTCTCCTTCATTCTAAGCCAATCACATGAGCACGTCCCCACGAGGGTATGATTTATTGCGTTCATGACGTAGCGCTTCATGTACGCATTTTGCGCTGTCCGGAGCAGGGTTTCCGCGGACAGAATTTATTTTACCGGACAAATTTGAAACTTACCGGTCATGTTTCAATAATAAGAAGAAGAAGAAGAAGAAGAATTGTGTAGCAGAGTTTCCGTTAGCAGGTAATTACCGGACTATGACCGGATATGGCTAATAACACGGGAGTAAGGATCATCTCTTTTGTCCTCTCTCCCTCCCTCTCTCCTGACTAGTGATGTGTCGGTCGCGAACGAGCCGGCTCAAAGAGCCGGCTCTTTTAAGTGAACGACGGGAGCCGGCTCGCGCCCGCGAACGAGCCGTTTTTTTTTTTTTTTTTTTTTTTATTTTAATTTTTTTTTTTTTTTAAGTAATACAAGACAGAATGATATGATGATCTCCGCGCTACAGCTGCTCCGTGCATGCATGCAGTGACATGTAATATCCAAGGATTAGAGACTGTTGGATGCTGCTGTTTTGAGCATTGCAATACATTTATTTTTCTTATGTTTTTTTATGATTAGAGACGGTTGGATGCTGCTGTACTGAGCATAGCAATATATTTATTTTCACTATGTTATTTATTTATGATTATCCTTGGGCTCAGCAAAGATTTGATGTCAGCTGTTGCTGTCTTTTTTTCTATAGTTAATACTGAAATAGAGCCCTGCTGTTTTGTCAGGGCCTTTTCTTTAAATATAATTTTAAAATGTCGATACAGTAGCCCTTTTTTTTAAATGTCTATGCTTAAGTTTTTGTGTTGCTATCTGCTTTGTGTAGCGTGGTTCTACAAGCAAGTCAGTGCATTCATTGGATGGTATCAGAGAGATACAAGGGTCTGTAAATGCAATGAAAACAATTGGCCACAGCAAATAATTGATATTAAACATGTAATTTTTACTTTTGAATACTTCAGTACAAAGGATGTATTGAATAATTTAAGTGATATGTGTACACATATAAATCATTAGTCAAAACAGGGCTACATTTGATTGAATTATAAAAGGTATAATATGTGGTAAACTGAAGAGCCGTTTGGGAGCCGAAAGAGCCGGCTCTTCTTGGTGAGCCGAGCCAAATGATCCGGCTCACCAAGAAGAGCCGGAATTCCCATCACTACTCCTGACCCAAGCCCCCAGGAAGTGCGCCGGACTCAGATGAAAATATTCGTGCTGGCCAGCCCGTACACTCTCTGGTCAACCACACACGTCACCAAGATGGCCGTCACTACTGTCTTGTCAACAAACGATTGACTATCACCACAATGAAACACGTCCTGAAGAATGTCATGCAAAGCTGCCTGCCTGCCTTCCTTTGATTCTCTCTGAACTGCCTGGTCGTTTTAATGTTTAATGTCAACCATTTGTGCAGATAGCATGAAGTAGAAAAGATCGCCGATGCTAACGTTAGCGTTAGCATTTCTCCCCCGGAATTAAATGGTGTATTATAGAATGATCACACCGGTGACAGTACTATTCAAAGGGTTCACGAAATATGACTACTACTCTTACTGTTTAACATTTTGGGTTACTTAATGTTACTTCATGTTAAGGCTAATAAAAATGACAAGGCTGTAATGCTAACTAACGTGCTAGCTACTAGCTAGGTAGCTAACTTGATCAAGCCACTCCTGGTCGTTTCATCAGACGGGAAGCAAAAGAACGAGCAAGACCCATTGACTTACATGGGGAAAGAGTGGTCTGTAAATCGTTGGATAATTTTTTTTAAACTAAACAAACTACCCAGTATGAACACTTGTATAGCCCTTATTAAAAACATTACATTCGTTCCTCAAGTTGTAAAAATGTGCTAATAACGTTATTCTGAGAGTTATTTCCCTCTGCATTATGAACGCGCATCTAACCCACGGGACCGCGCCGCCCTGGCACGTTCATGTTACGTGTTCAGCACTACATGCGTTTATCTTTACCCATGGATGCACAATAAGAACGGTCCCATATCGCCTTACTGCCAGCCCACGGAGCTGTAATAATGGATATATTGCACATGTTTGCTGTAATTCATCATTTGTAAAATATTATACTACATGGGCTGTATGATTAAATCTTGTACCGTAAATGTTGTATTAAATAAAGTTAATATTACCGACGTAGATTAACGTCCCTGTAGCTTCTTATTGCACTAAGAAGCTTATTGCACTGTATATCAGGGTTGCCAACTTTGGGTACCTGGCTGGAGTGAGATTTTGATATCATGGGTTTAATTCGGTTTAATTACACATATGCGCAAGAAATGACTGCTATCGTGTCAGCAGCGGGACCTTAGCATATATATAGGATATATATACAATATATACAAATACACAATAATGGACACAGACTATAAAGGGCACACAGTTTCATTCACTAATGAAAGTCAAACATGTTTGTTTCCACTGTTTTATTGTGTGCCTGTCGCGATAAGCAATTAATTGACTTATCGTACGATAAATAAAAATGAACTCGATAACTTTTCTGACCTCGATAAATTGCCATTTACATGAGGATGTGACTAGCAGTTTGAAAGGATGTACTTGAATTATTATTATATATTATCATTATGTCAGTGGTCTAAAATGGTCATACAACGGTGCCGACAATATTATCGTTTATCGCAATAATTTCCGGGAAAATGTATCCAACTAAATTAATTATCGTGAGAGGCCTATACATGAAACACACACACACACAAACAAATCTACAGACTTACTCCAAACTGCCAAATATATTAATTAACACACTCACTCTCATATACTCTTTGACTCTATTTTGGCCTAGTAGAACAATAAGCAGCAGACTTTTACTTTTTTATCATTTCTACTGGATCTTAGATCTGCGCATGCACTCCAGAGTATTTTTGTTGGGTAATCTATGGTAGGGCTAACCCATACAGTGGTGGGGCTCAAGTCAGTATTTGCAATGTAATTACATACACGCTCCCCCCCACAGTGAAACGCCACGCGTGAGGTTTAGATTATTTCCCTGTCTCAATCCAAATTGAACTGTATGAAATAAAAAGGCACATTTGTCTTGTAGTAAATAAAAAGGGCGACCTGGATCCAATCCTGCAATTTCCCCACAGGTGAAAGAGTTGACATGCTGAAAACCCAACCCCTGCAGGGGGGTCTGGGTGGATTCTCCCCCAGAAGATTTTTTTTAAATACTAACATAAAATACACATTCTGGTACTCTCTTGAGAAGAAAAATAAATAAATCTATTACTACACATTTAAAAAAATGAACGCCATTTGAGTTTTTTGTGACTTTGTTCTGAAAGCTGAACCTGCTGCTCCTCACAGAGAGAAGAGGGAAGAGGCTGTGTGAATTACTTTACATTGTGGATAAGGGTGGATAGCCCCCATTGTTCTGTGTGTCAAAATGAAAGACAGCCCACACACCTATCAATCATCAAACCATGGGGTCTTATTTCATTACGTGTTGATTTCTATCAACACGTAATGTTGTATCGATGTATAGAGATATACTACCGCAAAAGTATTCTCCGTCGGGACTTCCTGCAACAACACCACGCCGTTATCGTGATTCTGATTGGCCAGAAGACATTATCAAAGATGTTCTATTGAGAAGACAATCACGACGTGACAAAAGTTTTCAAAACCGTTTCTAGTCTTCGTATTCTTGTTTTTGGCGTGAGAATAGTTTGGGCAGCGTGAGAGCGTGAGATTGAGAGTGAAAGCGTGTGTCACACGCCAGATGCGTGAGAGTTGGCAACCCTGGTATATATATATATATACATACATATGCATATATATATATATATACAGTGCAATAATTCTTTCATGCTAAATGAAGCTCTGTTGCTTGGATATCACTAGATCCTGTTACAGCGTAATATAAAAGTACATAACGATTGATGTGTAAATTAGCATAATTACTAGCTAACCGCTAGCTACTAACTACCGCCTCGTTAATATCAAATCTATCATAATAACAAACCATTACCATGCTGTCATGAACGTGCGGTGCTGTTACGTGTACGCAAATTGACGTGCTTGATGTGAACGAGCATTTTGGGGGGCATGGTTAAAGTTGCGCATGCGCTATGAGCGCACATACGGGTACTTCTCAGGCATGCCGGGTAATCTGTGACGTTTCGCTCTCTCAAAAGTTGGGCCATTTTATCATCATGCGCGAATGAGCAACTCTCATAGGAATGAATGAGGCCCCGCCTCCCACGCTGTATCCAGTTCTTATTATACATCCATGCTCCTGACAGCCCGTCAGTTTCTCATGCAGCTCGCTAAAACTTCACTCGCGTTTATGTCCATATCGATCAGATCCAGCTCTCCTGTTCGGCCTTTATAGAGAGCACCGATCAAACTATTAAGAGTGAATATCGGCCGATAATGACCGGCGGGGCTCCCCCAGTTGACAGTTCACTGTCTAGCACTGGCTTCGTAGTGCACTGATCGATTAGGCTAAGCTAACCTGTAGCTGCTCCCTCCACACTCACAACAACTTCATACAGACATAAATAAAGCAGCTGTATTCGCCATACAGGAAACACACATTTAAAACTGTTTTGCCTGCCGTTTTTGTGTACACAAGTATTCATTAATGGTTCGGAAAGTGGCACTGTACCTTAATAATATAAAGGCTTGTATTTGCGTGCATTTCCTGCTCGGAAAGTGGCAATGTACTGAGAGTGGAAGTGTCCTGAGATTAGCGCCTGCAGACAGGCTCCATGGACGTGTCAGCTCCGGACAGCGCAAAATGCGTACATGAAGCGCTACGTCATGAACGCAAGAAATCTACCCTCGTGGGGGCGCGCTCATGTGATTGGCTTAGAATTGAGGAGACATCTGATTGGCTATAGATAGAAAAAATTACAAGTACGAATCGGGTGACCGTCAGGGGAGTCTCAAAAAACCCACACACGAATGCACAGCGATCCATGCACAGAAAGCGGGTTGTGTTTGCAGGTGCAGCGGTTTTAAACGGAGAATAAATATGTGAGGATCAAAAATGCATATGTAAAACTTTTTGCTGTATTTGGATTTTATGTACATGTACGTATATGAAACGGAACACATTTGTGTGTGCATTGAAAAACACAAGTGTGGATCCGGAAATACAAGTGTGAATCCTTTTGCGGATCATGAAATACAAGTGTGAATCCTTCTGTGTGCATGTGTGTATTATGAGACTGTTCTGAGCCCATACATTGTTTCCCCTGCTGTTGATGAATTCACGGTTATTGCATATGTTTGTTATAAAGGTCTGTGTGTGTGTGTGTGTGTGTGTGTGTGTGTGTGTGTGTGTGTGTGTGTGTGTGTGTGTGTGTGTGTGTGTGTGTGTGTGTGTGTGTGTGTGTGTGTGTCAGCTGGACAGAGTCATCTTCTGTGTGTTCTTGCCGACGGATAAGGAGCTGTATATGAAGACCCTCCCGCTCTACTTCCCCGCTGGTGAGTTTTGTCTTTCACACATACACACACACACACTTGCCTATCTACAGTGATGTCAGCTCAGCTCAATTTAGCTACACACACAAACAGAGACACACACAGTGGTGTGACAAACACTCTGCTCCATCCACTGTGTGCTATTTGCACATCAGTACATTAACACGTGCAAAACACTCATTAGATCCATAGTAGTGCATATATAGCACACTTAATTGTGTCTAAATACATCAAATAAACATGTACTTTGCTCCCACCCCCCACACACACATTAACACAGTGACATGATAAAACCTCTAAATACACAAAATGTAGAAGCAAGCTGCTTGAGCCTAATTATAAATGCAATTATGACATGTGATGTTTATGGGATATACTCGCATGGCCTTTTTCATAGCTGACAACCTGAGAAACATTGTTGTTATTTGAACCGATAATTAATTTAATCAATTAAATCTATTTGAACACAAATTTACATTTTGTTCTAGTGAGCAAAGACAGTGTGTTAAATGTCAGATATGATGGAGGGCTACAAAAATAACATGAACGTTGTGTTTGGAAATAACTTTAGTAGGCGGCAAAGCTGAACAAACAAGATTCATATTTTATTTATTATTTTAGATGTATTGCATTACTAAAAATGAGGCATTCTTACTTTCCATTTCTGACTTATTTATTATAACAGCCTTTCCTGAGATGAATATATAGTACTACTGTAAGTGCAATCCACATGACAAACTTGAGGATCATAACCAGAACTTCAAACATTATTTCATTTCATTTCAAAACTAACTAGTCATCTGTGGTCCAAACATTTAGCGGGTGACACGATAAAGAGGTAAAATAGGTTAAATAAATATGCAAATATGCCTTTTTCCTCTCATTCTGAGAAGAAGTTGAGAAGATGATGAGTACTGAGCTGGAGTCAGGAGATGGTCGGCTCTATTTTCTTTTGTGTCCCTTTTTAGTCCATTCATGTGGATGGGTTTGTTTATTGATAGTACGTAGATAGCTATCTATCTATACCTAACTGCTAATGTGCATGAGTTATTCTTCTCCCTAAGAATTTAAACTGTTACCAAAAAAAAGTGGGTGGATTACTAATCCCACTGATTTGCATAGATCCCTGGATAACTAGATTTAATCAAATCTGTGATCTGGCTAACAAAACATGTACATACAGTGTATGAGAAACTTGAAGTGATGGTAGTGACGACAAGACTCAGGGAAGTGGTTTGCAGTCACTAGGTGTGTTTCCATTTACCTTTGTTTAAGCCTGTGTTTCAGGTGTGTTTCCATTTACCTTTGTTTAAGCCTGTGTTTAAAAAGTAGTAGATTTTAGAGGGCTCTTTGCATGGGTGAAATTTGAAACATGAAAACATGTCAAATTCAAGTCTCTTTGTTTTGAGATCACCCTTCAACCATGCAATGACCCCTTTACAAGATGAAATAACGCACCTGTATTTTCTTTGTCACAACTTTCCTGAAAATTCAGTTATGTTCGCTACATTTAGAAACCTACTTTGCCCAGATATTCTAATATCACTCTCAGGAATTAAGCGAATAAGTACTGTATGCGTGAGTGTGTTTTCTTTTCATTTTTGAAATTCAAGGACTTTTATACTTTTGTGAGACACTCATCTGTGTTTTGCTATAATTTGCTCCTTTAGCCTGACCAATCACAGCAGCTTATTGTTCAGGTAACCAGCATGGTGTGTGTAAAAAATAAATAACTACATTAAGTCTGTTTGAACCCCTGTGTGAAATATAAGTGCTGTGTGCAGACCGGAAACCCTGACATTTACTCAAACTAGCACACTTAACAAATATTTACACTTCAGTTGAATATAAATGTTTTTTTCCACTTCTGACCTCAAGCTGACTAGTACAACAAACGCTTGCAGAGGAAGAACATATTCAAATCAATTTCCTCTGAAAATGAAAGTAAAGTGAAAGAATAAATCAGCAACCATGTTGTAGGTCTCCAAGGTTCCTCTTTCAATTTCAACATTCTGTCTCACATGCTTTTCAAAACTAACCGAGAGAAAGTTGTGTGCCATCATTGCAGATTAATCTCTGTGGTTAAATGAAGTTGAATAAATACGTGATATTCATGTTGGCTCAAGCTGTGACATGGTGACTTCACCCATTTGTTTTGATTACCCCCGTGATTGATAGTGTTATAATGCCAAGCAGTCCGAGCCCCTAAACATGATCAGTCATTCACTCAATTATTCAAATTAAGCATTGGTATTACAACTGCAGCCTTAACCTCTAATGTCCTGCTGTACCGCTGCTATAAATCAAACTCACCTCCCGTGAGGTGAGTCTCAAAACAGTTTGAGAGAGAGGTCTCCCCCATCTCGTACTTTCTGCTTTTATAAAACTGTTTTTTCTTTTTAGCACACAGCTGCTATCAATCCTTTCCTCAAAACCAACAACATAATCAGAAAGCTTCTGCAAAAGTTCACCTTCACGTTTTGCACAGCTGCTCGCTTAAAATCTTACATTTAAATGAAATATTCAGGGTCACTGAGTGTCATGTTGTCAACACACAGTAAGAAGGTGATGTAAACAACTGTGGACCTGAATTAGTGCCTTTACATCCTGCCTCTGTTTGTGATGTTCACCTTGCAAAGCAATCAGTCTTTATTAATTACATACAAATGTAACCCCAAAGAAACATTAACCACAACAAACCCACTTTCAACCATATCTTGCAGCTTGAACTCAACAGAAAGACAATGCATTGAAATAGGTTTGACATTGAAATTAAAGCAGAGTGTTGTCTCAGTGGCAGTAGAGTGAAAACAACAGAGTACTGCCTCTGGGCTCTCAATGCTTCTCTCTGTATATAATTGATATGCATGCTGCTATCAAGGCTTTATATATACCGTTTGCAGGATGCATGACATTTATCATAATTGTCGTACTTTTACAATCCCGTGTTTTGAAGATGTGTTTGAAAATCAGCAGAAAAAAGAAAAGAAAGCACACTTAATTATATAACACAAGATGTGAACATAACATAAATGTGCACAGACATACAAGCAGTGAAAGCAGACTGAAAGAGAACAGAGGAGCTTCCTATTAAAAATAAGAGAGGAATCCAATCAACTCTGCTGCCGTATCTCCAGCATAAGCTTTAAAGTCACACATTGGGTTCAGAGTCTTAATATTTTTGTATCTTTTTGCAGACAGATCCGACCAGTAGTGCCGATACAGGGAAGAGTTTTTCACCCGTTTCAATGTCGGCCTCAATGAAGATCAATTGCTAAAAATAATGGGATCACGCTGCGATGCCCTTTAACTCTACTTTATACAACAGTCTAAATATGTAAGAGTTTACTTAGAAGTGTTTTGTGGATAAAATGTTGCATTGACCAGGTTAAAGCATCGACTTCACACTAGCCTGAAACATAACTAAGAGTAAGAGCCTGAAGGATAATATTCTAGATGTTCTTACTGTCAATAAGTGCTATGAATATGTCAATCCAACAATGACTTGATCATATTAATAATAACATTATATATTCAAAGTTGGACTTTATATTTGTTTTTCCTCTCATTGTTTAATTTGGAAACTATTATATATGTGAATGCCCTAAATAAATCATTTTCGAGTTCCTAATTATAGCTGTTAGGTGTCTAAATAAATGATTTGGCAAAAATAAATGTAAATACATTATGCAAATATAACCCCATCTGCTTTCATGCATCTACACAACGTCCACGACACTCCCAAAGCAGGTGGGGGTGGCAGGAAGCGGCAAATAGACCACGCCCTCTTATGACACAAGGAGTGATGAGTAAACCATTTCAAACCATTCCCAGAGCTAATAATAGGTCTTCTTCGTGTTAGATTATTTTGATATTAGACTTGTATTTGTCAGTAACTTGACGTCATGCCTAGACTTGCAAAGTCATGCAAATGTTGTGTTTGCCAACATGTTTGTTCAAATGTTTGTGAAGACATACAGTAATACACTAGTGTTGTGTTCACAGCTTGTTCTTTTGCCCCTTGCTAACTAAACATAAATTAAAGCTGCTTAAAGATGTGTAATATTAGCTTCAATCTGTCAATCCTTTCCGTGTCCGGGCCGGGTGAGGTTTCCCGTGTTGAGTCAAATTAATTGATTTAATGTTCAGATTATAAAGTTATTTTATACTACAGTATCAATAAATACTGAACCATGCAACCATCCGGCCTTAGAGACAGAAGGCCGGATTTAATTCTTCTTTTATGGGATAAACTTTAGCTTCCACTCAACAAACTCCAGTGTCAAACTGTGACACAGCATCAACTTTTCACCTGAAGCATGAAATCAGCACTTTCACATCTTCACACAGGCTGGTTTACTGAGGAGGTCATTTTCCAAGACATGCAGGTGTGTCCCTTTTTAAAAAGAAAAAAGTCAGCACTAGCTGTTGGTGTGTCTTTTTCCCTAATGGATGTACAGCAGATTTTGAAGCAGCAGTGAGCGAGCAGCAGCGGTGCTTGGCTGGTAGATGAAGCGTAACTGTCAGTGTGTGAAAGAGCGGCTGCAGGCAGGCCTCCAAGTCTACACTATAAACCGTATGTGTCTCCAACACCTGGCACCACCCACACTGGCTGTCTGTTTGGTTTGTGTGTGTGTGTGTGTGTGTGTGTGACTTTGTATGTTGTTTATTGTGTCTCGAGCCATATTGGACTCATAGTGACTAATCCGCGCTAACAGATCCCTCTGAAGCCACCAGACGATCCAGCCAAAATGCAATTAACCGCTGCATGACCAAAGCAAAATGCTCTCTCCCCTCGTTTTACAAGTTCATCTTTTTTCTCTCTTTTCTCCCACAGAGGACACAGTCAAGAGTAAACTCTAAGAGAGTCGATTCGGTTGCTGTGGATACTCGCCGCTCAACATCCAGATTCTTCCTCCTCGAGGTCATCGCAGATCAAGACCTTTTTGGATGATTGCTTTTTTTTTTTTAAGTGCACGCTGGCTCTTCTGCAGATGTTGATTAGTTCCTTTGTTTTCCCCACTAATGGTTACGAGAGGCATCATGATGAAGGTTTGAAATGACATTCATAATTCTTGTGAAAAATGGACCCTATAGGTTGCACTCTAACTTGACCTTCATTGTCTGTGATAATTGGCAGCTTGGCATCAGCTATGAGTTATGTGTCCTGTGCTGTTTGAATAGTGGCATAACTGTGTGTGTGTGTGTGTGTGTAAGACAATAGCAAAAGCTTATTAAAAATAATCACACAGGCTTCTGTTGTGTTTGAATTGATTATGTCTCGGGATGCGATGTGAGCCAGTGAGCTGTGGCTTCACGAGGGAACACTTTACATGAATATTTCTCCTTTAGTTTTCTCGCATCTCAATGTGGAAGAGACGGGAAAAGTGGATTTGTTTATCAGGCAGCAGTGGAGGAAAGTAATCAAGTAAATGTATTCAGGTAATGTACTGAGGTTGTTTCTTCAGTAATTCAACTTCCATTTACTTTATACCTCTAACCCAATTCCAGATATTTTACTGCATTTTAATTATGTAATCCCTGTCTGTACTATTTATTTACATATCTTCATTTGAAAGATAATAATCTTTCAGATAAAAATACACATTATATAAAGGTCATGTATATATTGGCAGTTGTAGCATCAGTAGGGCTTGCCAGCGTCATATGGTTTTCGTGCATGGTTTCTTTTTCTCTCCGTGCCTTTTCTCTTCCTCTTTCCCGGTCAAGATTTATGAAGATTGGATTGGCAATTATAAATGAACGTTATGACAGCATTTTGGGGGAAATCAGGATGCTCATCTCGCTGCACAGCATGGAGACCCATTTGCATAAAAAGCAAGCTCAAATCCATCATAATAGCAAAACCTCAAAAGATGATGAGATGGATAACACGCATGGCGTCTTTCTTCAGGCTCAACAGGTATTCTGTTTGGAAGGCATATAGCTGGCTTGCTCTTGTCGTTCAGGAGGCGGATGTTACGCATAACCATTCACATCATATCAGGGGGATAATGTCAGTACATTCGAGTAAAATCAGGGATGTACTATAAGAACTGGATATGGCGCCGTCTGCTCTTTCCGATTTTGGAGAATGGCCACATGCGTCTGTTCAGCGAAAAAATCCCCTATACAGCCCTGAGAACATTTTCTCCAACGGCCACAACACAAAAAGAGATGCCTGTAACACTGAGAGACACCTTGACCTTGTGTCTCTTCGTGAATATTTGCTCCTTGAATGTAATGTATTTTTTCAAAAATGTCTAGAGAGGAAAAAGTGATAAACAATCTTTAACCTCCTCACAAAGTAGAGTCCTGGCTGACTAGGAGTTTGTGACACCAATCCAATGAGATTTGATTGCCTGGCTCATATGCAAAAAGAAAAGTGTGGTTTTGAGGCTTGCATTAGTGTTTCTCCTTCTGGTCAAAACCACACTTTTGTTTTTGCATATCAAATCAAATCAAATCAAGTTTTATTTATATAGCACATTTTTAAACGATTTTTGGTCAAGCCAAAGTGCTGTACATATAATAAAATACCCTACAGTAAAGACACTTTACCGCAAATACAACAGCACAGTTTGTTCAGAATATCTATTTGCACATCAGTACATTAACACGTGCAAAACACTCATTAGATCCATAGTAGTGCATATATAGCACACTTAATTGTGTCTAAATACATCAAATAAACATGTACTTTGCTCCCACCCCCCACACACACATAAACACAGTGACATGATAAAACCTCTAAATACACAAAATGTAGAAGCAAGCTGCTTGAGCCTAATTATAAATGCAATTATGACATGTGATGTTTATGGGATATACTCGCATGGCCTTTTTCATAGCTGACAACCTGAGAAACATTGTTGTTATTTGAACCGATAATTAATTTAATCAATTAAATCTATTTGAACACAAATTTACATTTGTTCTAGTGAGCAAAGACAATGTGTTGCCTGGCATATGAGCCAGGCAATCAAATCTCATTGGATTGGTGTCATTGTGACTGTAAAAAAACAGACCTTGCTTATCCGTGTGAATAAGGGTAATGAAACAAAGACATATGGGCTACTTTCTAAGTCACAAGGACCCTTGGTAATGTTAGCACGGTACGAATAGGGCATTAAGTTCCTAACATTATTTGAGTAAAGCACCTAAAAACATTCCCTGCCAGCAATATTATTGTAAAATGTTTCACTTGTTTAGCTTTGCCTTTTCTATTGCACAGCCACAGCACCTGTTCATTTTTTAACAACAATCACCAATCCTCCCCCCTTCCCTCCTTTTTTCTCTTTATATCATTTTTGTCTCAAAGCTGTCCAATTCCTATCCACCCTGGCTCCCTGTCTGCTGTCACAACTCACCATGTGTGTGTTATGCAAACGCCATCAAGCTTCTCCCCACTGCGCATCTGTATGAGTTTGTAATTGTTTGTTGCAGGATGTAGCCCCAGTGATTTGTGTGAAGTGAATTGAGCGTTTAGCGAGCCATTGTCCCGCCCCACGACTTTCATCTGCCAACAACGTTCTTTATTGATACCACACTATCTGCCACGATGGTGCAGACGCACAGGGAGGAGGGGGGTGTCGTGTTGGGACAAAGGGGAGGAGAGGGGCTGTTGAGGGGGAAGTAAACTACAAAGAAAGCTCTCTTGTTTTATAAAAGCTTGATCTGTCACAAAGGGATTGTCTTTTCCGCTTCTGAGCTCTTTGATTCCTTCTCTGTCCGGGCCTTCTTCCTCCTCGTCCCTCTCTACTCTACAGTATGGTGCAAACAAAATAAACAGATGGAGGAGGGAGGGATAAAGAGACGGAGAGAGGAAGGATGTAGAAGTTCAAACTGAGAGAGGGGGAGGGAAAAAAGGTGCATGGGGATGAGAGGATGCCGAGCCGGCAGGAGGATGGAGATATGGAGGGAAAAAAGAGAGATGGAAAGCCTGATGAACTCATCTAAAGACGCGCTGGGTTTTTGAATAAGCAACAGACTGTGAAGCTACTCCGACCAGTCACTCTGAGTAATGAGAGAGAGAGGGAGAGGGAAAGTCTGAGGATGAAAAGACAACGAGACTCATTATCCTCTGACCAATTTTCATCACTGCCCCGTCAGTAATCTCTCTCTCTTTTCTCTCTCTCTCTCTTTCTCTCTCTGGGACTCAAACGGTCCACAGCTCTGTTTGAGATGACAGATGAAGAACAATTAGGCTAACTGTGTCGTTAACTTGAAGGCTGTTACCCTGCCATATTCCTGAACATACAAAAATAATTCTGCAGGCCCTGGAAATGACTCGCTGCACACGGCGCGCTAACCCACGTGTGTGTGTGTGTGTGTGTGTGTGTGTGTGTGTGTGTGTGTGTGTGTGTGTGTGTGTGTGTGTGTGTGTGTGTGTGTGTGTGTGTGTGTGTGTGTGTGTGTGTGTGTGTGTGTGTGTGTGTGTGCGAGTGTCTTAAGAGCAGTGGTGGATAGTAACAAAGTACATTTACTCAAGTACAGTACTTACATTTTGAGTTACTTGTACTTTATTTGAGTATTCTCAGTTTATGCTACTTTATACTTCTACTCCACTACATTTTAGAAGCCAATAATGTACTTTTTACTCCACTACATTTATGTGACAGCTTTTAGATACTAATCACTTTTTTCAGTCAATTACTAAACAAACTTTGACCTATATTTATAGGTTAAACTATCCAGCAGCAGTATTTACATTTATTCAAATTAGCTTTACAACTACCAGCTGTGATAAATACATATACATAATAATGGTAGTAGCCAAGTAACTCAATATATACGATAGTACTTTTGGTATTTTATTTTAATGCTGATGATTAGTTAAGAACTTTTAAAATGTAGTACTGCTGTCTTTACTTTACAAATCGAAGTACTTTCTCCACCACTGCTTGAGAGCCTCAATAGTGTGTGTGTGTGTGTGTGTGTGTGTGTGTGTGTGTGTGTGTGTGTGTGTGTGTGTGTGTGTGTGTGTGTGTGTGTGTGTGTGTGTGTGTGTGTGTGTGTGTGTGTGTGTGTGTGTGTGTGTGTGTGTGTGTGTGTGTGTGTGTGTGTGTGTGTGTGTGTGTGTGTGTGTGTGTGTGTGTGTGTGTGTGTGTGTGTGTGTTGAAAAAGGTCCACTGCTTGTTCGGTTGACAGTATCCAACGGCGTTGAACTCTCAGGTGTTGGATGAAGAATGATTTCAGTCTGATGACTGCTGCTGCTGACTGTGTTCCTTGCGCTCTATTACTGATTACTGCCTTGTCGACATTTTTCTCTGCACTTAAACATATTTGTTGCTGTTCTCCTTGAGATTCTCTCAATGCATTTCATCATGCTGTGTGTTAGCTGATCAGTTAGCTGATCAGTTTGCTGATCAGTTTGCTGTGTTGCAGACCTGGACAGTTCAGATCTTTGTATTGTTTTCATCTCATTCAGTTATCTTATGTCATATCCTGTTCAGTATGTTGCTTTGTTCAAGGTTCAAGGTGCTTTATTGTCAAACTAACATAGCTACAGAGTAATTATGTCGTGGGAAACAGGCTTCTCCAACAATGCAACATAATAATACAGATAGTAAAAGTAATACAAAAAGAAAAATAGTTCTAAAATAAAGTGGAATAGTGCAGTACGAGTCTATATACAAGTTAAGTAAAACGGCAAAAGTAAAATAAATACGCACAAAATACGAAAAGGGGCAAAGTTGGAGAGGAGCCAAAAGACGATGCGGCCATCTTCACCGGCGCATCCACATACTTAGTTTAATTGAACTGTAATGGGTTGCATTGCATTCCTGGTGCGCTGGAATTTAGATGTATTTAGGGCTGAGTATATATACTTTAAGATACAACACATAAAGAAGAAAATCAACCAGTGCCTTAAAGGGAACATCCACAGTCTTCCTCCTTCAGTTATTTGTGTGACTGCCTGTTGCACACATTTCTCTGCCTCTCACTTCTGGCCTGCTAGCCTCATGTGTGCAGTGTTGGGATGTTTTCTCCCTGAAGAGCCCTGCAGGCTGCTGGTAGACAGGCGCTCCTGCTGTTCAGATTCAGGTTGTCACACATTCCAGGTGGGAACCTGAATAAAGAGCTTTGAATTAATAGGTTTTTCAAAGTGACAAGATGAGGTATTCTTCTGGATTCTTGTTAGGAAGAAGTGCAATTTACCAATAATAATAAAATAGATGGTTTTTAAAGGCATTATGTAACACAATTATGTAATTGCACTTAATCACAATCCTTAACAGAGACTGTTACAAA